CCCCCCCAGTCAAAATGTGTTGGAAAAAATAAAGGGGATATACACAAAAACCGTAAAAAAAACAATTTTTTTTTATTATTAGGGAACTGGGCTAAAAAGTGGCACGTTGTGCCCCCCCCCCCACACCAATTAAAAAAAAAGGGGTGAGGGTTTGGGGGGGGGGGACTTGCCAAGGAATCGAATATCTTATTATTATATCTTTTATAAGGCGTTGGGAGTTTGGATGGGGAGGGAGCATAATTTAATGTAGCAGACGGTTGGGTTTTTCTAAGTTCGAAGGGTTTAGGATTGTAATTATAAAAGTTGTGTTGTTGTTTTTTTTTAAATATATAATATATGCATACATATATTCACATTTGTGTGTAAGGTCCACCCCCATTTAATAGATTGAAAAGCCGTGGCGTGCCTAGGATGGGACGAAGATGGTAACCATCCATTTCGAAGCGGCGTTTAGTCAAGGTACGCCCCTGATGAAAGATATCGGGCTCTCACTCTCTCTCTCTCTCGTGTTGAACACGCTCGCCCGATGCCTCACAAAAGTACAGACGTAACTAAACGAAACTGATTTTGGTTGTTGAAAATATAAGCAGGAACTCCAACTCCAACGTTCGGCTTCTCCAGCTTCGGAAGAGTCACGTGGATGTAAAATGTGACCATTATTTGGTGGCAAACATCTCGCGTGCCACAGCAGCCATTAAAAGTATAGGTGGACTTGGTGGAGATGGTGTGGTGTAATGGGGGTGGTGTGGTGGAGGTGATATGGTTGGTGTGATGGAGGGGGCGTGGTGGAGATGGTGTGGTGTGGTGGGGGTGGTGTGGGGGTTGGGGTGGTTAGTAGGGATGGTGGGGTGAGGTTGTTGGTGGGGGTGGTTTGATGAGGGTGGGGATGGTGTGGTGGAGGTGGTGTGATGAGGGTGGGGGTGGTGTGGTGGGGGTGGTGTGATGAGGGTGGGGGTGGTGTGTGGGTTGGGGTGGTTAGTAGGGATGGTGGGGTGAGGTTGTTGGTGGGGGTGGTTTGATGAGGGTGGGGATGGTGTGGTGGAGGTGGTGTGATGAGGGTGGGGATGGTGTGGTGGGGGTGGTGTGATGAGGGTGGGGATGGTGTGGTGGGGGTGGTGTGATGGAGGTGGTTGGTTGGGGTGGTGTGATGGGGGTGCTTGGTGGAGCTGGTGTGATGAGGGTGGTGGAGGTGGTAATGGGGATTGTGTGATGGGGGTGGGGAGGGGGTCTGGTCGTGGCCATAGGGGCGCCCAGAAATATTTAAATTCCCTTAGTTTATTATATTGAAGTGTGAACCTCGGGTCCGGGGTCGAGACGGTATTTTAACTTTTCGTACAATCGCTTTGATACAATGAGTTTAGGCCTACTGAGTAGCCTACTGGGGATGCTCCTTTAACAAAAACACGCCGATAGTTCAAAAGGGCAAATTATGGACGACTCCAATAAATTCGATGTAAGCTTACTTACAGCCTTCTCTTCATTGAATTTTTCATAGAGTAACATATTCTTTAAATTGTTTTTTTTTTTAAATACATATTTTCATTAAAATAATAACATATTAAAATTAGTTTCGTATTGTCTGCACAGAAAGCTGGCCTCTAACTGATATCAGTCGTCTTCCAATAATGTAAAAAAAAATCATTACAAATATTGAGCATTAAGTGTATTGTATTTGCAACAATAAATTCATATACACGCAAGGCTGTTGACATTCTGGTCTAAAGCCTTGCCGAGTGACGTAGATTGGTTTACCGGGGCCACGAATAGAAAAACTCACGGCCTAATTGCATCCCGTCCATATAAATTAAAAAGTGCCGTCCCTTCTGCACTCTCCATTCCTACGCCACTGCTCATGTGTAATATCAGAACCAACAGAACTAAATGAGTATGAGCTCTCCTTAGACTTTCAGGCTGAACATGAGATCTAACATCTCCTTAGACTTTCAGGCTGAACATGAGATCTAACATCTCCTTAGACTTTCAGGTTGAACATGAGATCCAACATCTCCTTAGACTTTCAGGCTGAACATGAGATCTAACATCTCCTTAGACTTTCAGGCTGAACATGAGATCTAACATCTCCTTAGACTTTCAGGCTGAACATGAGATCTAACATCTCCTTAGACTTTCAGGCTGAGGTAGGGTCATAACTTATACAGCGTCAAAGTGTGATATCCTCAATTGAATTCAGGCCCATTGAGTTTGATTTGGTCATAATGTGAAGACAATGTTTTAAGTGTAAGCAAAGATGCACATCGTAGTAAGTAATGGTAGACCTACTTTGAAATACTTTATATGAGAGAATCAAATTTGGCAAATGGTGTTAAATAATGGAGTTAATACTTTTTTGTTAGTGTAATTTCAAGTATCAGTGCAAATATCTGGAGATTGGACAACAAGAAAATATTCCTTAAGAGGCAGATCCTTTGACACATGTTTCATTCCAGAAGACCAGAAGATATTATTTTTGTATTTTTATTTTGTCTACTGGTTTGTCCCCCACACCCTTTTTTTTTCTTCATTGTATTTATTTCTTAAAAACTTTAGATTGAATACTCAAAGCAATAAGAATCATGTTAAGGTTAAATGATTTTTAAAAAAGAAAACATTGTAAAAAAAATAATGTATAGGTTTGCCTAACTAGCAACACTATTAAGCAACAAAAGAAATTTTAAAATTGATATGTTTTTTTAAAATTCATCTTTTTATTCTGTTATGACATCTGCAACACTGAATGTGTGTTCTTGTTGAGACAAAATATGGCATAAAACATGCTACAAGTACATTTGTAAGGTGACAAAGTTGAACAAACAATATTAAGAATAAATAATAGCATTTAAACAATGCCAACAGCATATAAAAAAAAGAAATATTTTCAATACAACAGTCATGAGATTCACATGTCAGGTTTATTTTGTCAATAATTAATGCTCAATTTAAACATATAAAACCTCAGAAGCTCTCTATGCCCTGCTGGACAAATTAAAATTACAAGCCTGTTTTTATGAATGGATAATAATGTTTAAAAAATTAATTATTTAAGCTTATCGTTTCTTGAAATATAACATCTTGGGCATATACTTCTAACAACATTTAAAAAATAATAATAATGATTAAATTAAAACATTATGCGTGATAGCTTTTATACCAATTGTAAGGAAACCCCGGTGAGCACTGGCCAAAGAATTTCTAGTTCAACTAACAAAATATAATGAATACATTATAACTATACATTAATTTGTGCAGTGTGAGACATCTGAATGGTGTTACATTATAACTATAAATTAAGTTGTGCAGTGTGAGACATCTGAATGGTGTTTTTATATATATGAATCAAAACAAATTGAATATGAATATCTCCGGGCTACAGTTATCTCTCCTTGTAAAGAAGGTCATAAATATATAGAGTACTGACTCTATGTCTATAATAAAATATTGGATCGGATTAAAAGTTTCAAATACAATGATGGGGATGAATATGTTTGTCCAATATTGCAATGAATTTCAATGAGTGATTAATGGATGGAATTCATAAACTCTGTACCGTATGAGTGATGACTTGTTGTGCAAGGTGAAGAATAAATATTTGAAATTAACGTACTATGATGATCAACTGGTATCAATAAATAAAAGTGGTCTTGTAACCTGAAAGCATTATATTATAATACAAACCATTCACAATAAATTAAAAGACAAATATTTTTAATGACAGCACTTAGGTCACTTGATCTTAAATCACTGTTAACCATTTTCAAATTAACTTTAAATTTTGCAATTTCATGATAAAGTGTTGGGTCATAATTTTAAGATGGAAGTGTTTGAACCATAAGAAGCTAATTGAAGTTCTGTGAGGAGACCAAAGAAAAAGCCTTAATCCTTTCATTACAACTGGTTTTCTGCATCGATTTTTGTCGACTAACCAATTAAAAAACTTAAGGATGAAATTTCCGGTATAATTTCATTCTCTAGATAAATGAATAAAGACATATGTAGCATTGGAATATGACTTCCCTTGGTATGTCAGAAAAGTTCTTTGCATCTTTGTTATGATGACAATGTGACGTCCTTGGTAATTGAAAGTGGGTGATCGTGACGTCAACGTCATTGGCAACAAAAAGGTTAACACCAGAGGCAAACAAAAAAATACAGCATGCCCCCAGGATGTCTGAAAATGTAAAACTGGCCTCTTAATAAACTCTTAGCATGTAGTTAAGAACCAAAAAAATATGGTGGCTTCAAAGAAGAAAAGAGGAAGACTTAAAACATGTTTAGTTTTCATTCTAACCTTACTCAACATCTTTACACTTACTCTATTAACATGAGCAACAAATAAATTAAATGGCACAGATAAGATGACCCATACATTAACAAATTAACATTAAGACCTGCATATGTAAAAATGTAATGATCTTAAAAATGTAGAATTCCCTAAGAATTTAAAAAGGACATTTTAAAATGTGTTTTGTCACCTATGTTTTTGGAATAACACATTTTAAAATGTCAACATAGGTGACAAAACTCCACATTACTTTTTGTAACTTCTGTCATTAAAATCAAAACCTAATATGGGATAATTTAAAACAACAAACCTTCAAATCATATCATAAGTTAAAATAATGCATGCCATAAAAATGAGATTCCAACTTTAAAACTGCCCCCCCCCCCTTCCCTGGTCATTCTGTATGACTCAAAAAAGAGACACTTTTTTTTTGTCAAGTAAAACAACATCATAAAAGCACCAGTGATGCATTAAAATCAAAACCTAATATGGGATAATTTAAAACAACAAACCTTCAAATCATATCATAAGTTAAAATAATGCATGCCATAAAAATGAGATTCCAACTTTAAAACTGCCCCCCCCCCCCTTCCCTGGTCATTCTGTATGACTCAAAAAAGAGACACTTTTTTTTTGTCAAGTAAAACAACATCATAAAAGCACCAGTGATGCAGCAAAGCAACACTTTATAAAAAATAATGTTTGACCTGACATAAATTGAGGCACAATGAGTTGACTAAAATGACTAACATGTTCACATTGATGGCAATGATAAATTGAGGCATAATGAGTTGACTAAAATGACTAACATGTTCACATTGATGGCAATGATAAATTGAGGCATAATGAGTTGACTAAAATGACTAACATGTTCACATTGATGGCAATGATACATTGAGGCACAATGAGTTGACTAAAATGACTAACATGTTCAGATTGATGGCATTGATAAAAAAAAAAGTCCTTGCATTTATAAACGCCCATAAATATTAAATTAATTTAAATAACCCCCAAATAGTCCAACTTGTATGACTGACATTAACTGGATGTCGGGACAAATTTTGGCAAGTACAAGGAACATGAACCATGTTCCCAGAGAGCAATATTCTGCTCCCGTCCTTGTGCCCATGTCTGAAATGGTAGATTAAAAGTGTCGATGGTTCGACATTTTTGCGAATGGTCTCCTCCACACCAGCCACCAATAGCGTAAATAGAGTCTTTATCTAACGTGTATGTTCCATATGTACGCACCCTGTTCAAGGAGCCGATCACCTCCCAGGAGTCTGTGCTGAAATCATAAGAGTCAATACTTGTGGCCATGATCCTCTGATTGGTCTGAGAGTCCAGGTGCCAGCCTCCTATGACGTAGACTTTCTCCTCCCACACAAACATGGAGTGATCTGCCCTGGCTGTTAAGAGATCTGCTTTCCTGCTCCACCTATCAGTACGCGGATCATACTGATAAAAATCTTGGAATACCTTCTCCTCATTTTCTTGAATTCCCCCGGAGACAAGCACATGTTTCCCCAAGCTGGTGCCAGCCAGTTGAGAGCGGTTGCCGGGTAGAGAACTGATGTACCTCCATTTGTTTGTTTTTGGGTTATAGACTTCACACGGGGCAACATCTTCGGGGCCCACATCAGATGCGAATGGATCTCCTCCAATAGCATAGATTCTATCCTCTGTGGCACAGAGCAAGAACCGACATCGCTCTTGGTGCATTGGTGCAATGCTAATCCACTCATCTGTAGTTGGTGTGTACTGAAAACCAAAAGGATGGGCTATTTCTTGCATATGGTCATTGAAACAGCCCCCAACAATGTAAAGTTGGTTCTGAAAAACGGCCATCCCAAAGTTGATCTGGTCCAGATGGGGTATCTTGGTTAGGTGCCGAAGGGATGTAGAGCAGCTGTCTAAATATAAAACATTATTGGTCATACCAGATTCCTTACGAAAGCCACCGGCCACGATAATGGTAGAGTGAAAGCCCCTAGAATTAATCAGACCTGGAATTTTGTGCCTTTTGAATGGTTTGCACAGAGGCTGTCGCAATTCAATTCTGGTAACAGAAAGATTCGATCTGATGTTAGGGCTGTAGTTTGTGACACTGATGATGGTGTCTTCAACAGAAAGGCTTGGCGTATTGTCATTGCACAGGTTAGCTAAAGCTGGGAAGTGTTCAAACAGCTTCGGACAGCCATCAGTTAATTCTATCCACTCCTTGCTGCAAAGGATACTTTCAAACTCACTAGCAGAAATGTTTTCTAACATTATACATTGTAGCACATCAACAATATAGTTGGTGCGCTCTGTGGGGAAATATGAAAACCAGCTGAGAACTGACAGGAAGACATCAATTTCCTTACAGTTGACTGGATAGCCCGATGACAGCACAGATACCAGGAACTGGGGCATTAAATGGTGAAAATCTCCACACATCGAGAATGTGGCCCAGTTGCGACACACAAAATTCATTACATGTTGTTGCAGGTGCCGCAGTGAAAACAGCTCTGCAACTTTAGCAGTGTTGACACAATTTTCAATGGTCAGGTGATCTTTCAGGTAATTCTCACAAGCAGAGATAACAGGAAGAATCTGGACATGTGTGGCACCAGAAAGCACATCAAGAACATTGTCTGTTTGGGGAATAATTATAAATAATTATTCATATTTTGTAAATAATATATCCCATTTAAAATTAACAAAATAATTATAACGGAAGTCAATAAATTAAGTCATTTTATATTTTAGGATAAAAGTTAACCATGTTATCAGAAATTATAAAATTTATATCACGATCTGCAGAGATCAACATAAACAGAATACAGTGATTGCACTGTATGTATGTTTTGCATTGTAATTATTATATTAGCAGTTTTTATAAAAATGCATAATCAAAAATGCTCATTATCAATATTATCATGACCAAAACTTACCAGAATCTATGTTTATGGTAGAATTATAGGCAAAATCAATCAAGTGTGCAATACTGGAAGCAGTTAGACCATTGAGGCTGACACGTGACTCTGTACATTCCCGCAAGCCATCAGTGAACATTGCCCTATTGAACAGTTAAAAACCAAATAATGACCACTTTATGATTACACATACATGAGACACACACACACACATGTATATACATTTTATCATTTATATATATATATACACACATTATCACAGTAAAAGGAGAACAGATTCAATTAATAATTCAAAAGAGTTAATTGCTTAATTATAAACGTACGTGAAAAAGATTGTTGTTGAAAGGCTAAAAATGGCAGTTACCACAAATAAATAACATTAAAACGTTTTTAAAAATTCACTGACCTGAAATAGTCACTACATGATGCTAAAACTACTCTATGAGCAGGAAATTCCCTGCTATCTGCGACAAGTATAACATCAAAAAGTTGTTGCATTTCCCTAAGATGTTGTAGTCCGGCAAGTACAGATTTTCCATGGTCAGTGGATTCAAATCGAACATTGTCTTCAAGTCCTACATGTAGTGCCAATGGATAGTTCATTGTTTATGATAACACTGAAATAAGAAAAAAATTATTACAATAAAAACTATACAACTTATACATGTCTATATCCTGAGATAAGAAATTTTACCCAAACTGCAATGTCTACATTAAAGAAAAATATATTTAGGGTTTCATGCTATCTCCTAATTTGAAAAGTACTCAATGAACACATAGTAACATTGATTGGTCAATTAGATTATAATTTGAGGATATCAATCATCCAGTTTAAAACAAGGGGCAGGGGATTCGCCCAAATTGAATTTTAAAGTAAATTGTAATAACTAAAATTAACAAAAGCAAATCATTTCATATGAAGGCTCATAAAAATTAACTTTTTAAGTCTTTTAAGTAGGCCAAATTCCTATACATTATACTATGTCTATACTATATAATATTTATAATTATAATTTATAAGCAGACAACACATTGATCTGAATCTGATGATAAATTGGCCATATATTAATAATAATATAAATTATATAGATCTTAGATAGCCTATAACTATAGGCATAATAACCTTTACAGGCAAAGTGGGAAGAAATTTAAACGCACGGACTCAATAATGTAAGTCAATTCATTATAGTTATGGTCAGTAGTCCTAAGTAGTGGTAAAGTAATTTCAGTAAAAGCATAAATAAACAGCTAGGCTCCTGGCTACTAGTTATTCTGACATGATTCAGTTATGATTTATAGTTTGTTTTCCAAATCCATAACAAATTGTACGATTTCTTAGCTTAAAACACATGTCCTCACCGAATGAACTCTAACGGCGAATAATCTTACACACGCCAGCAAACTATTAATTTAGGTTGGGGACAAAGCATAGCTCGTGTAGCCTTCCTTGTACAGGACTTGGATACGTTCTCCTTTTGTTTGGTTACCGAAGTGGCAGCTGTGCCGTAGCACCTGCCTGGCATCAGGTCCATTTTAGGGTCATTTCCGGTTTAAAAATAAACAAAGAACTGTTGATATTCCATCCAGTTCCCTTCGATGTTTTTCATACACATGTTCATATAGTCGCAGCATTATTTGATAAATTAAATGTTTGGCTTTAGTAATTATAACTGTAAGTCAGACAAAATCGCCATAAATGATGAAATATCGACAACTGTCATGACTCATTGCATTAGACTAATACTTCACTGGCCTGGGCCTAGAACTAGAAACAATTTGTGATTGTGAAACACGAAATACGATGACTTGCTTAGTTTCAAGCAACTTGCTTGAAACTATTGAAACCATACCTAGTCATAGTCATACTAGTAAATAAATTTAAAAAATGGCATGATTATTCATTGTAACGATGGACTGAGGATTTTTCCTCGAAAACCACCCCACTGGAACTAGGCCCATTAAATCATTAAATAATATTAAAGAGTAATGTTTTTAATGGATTTGTGGGTAAATTAAATGTGAAGAGATAGCACCACGTTTTTTTTTACCAAAGCGAACTTATGTCCTAAATTTGTCCCTAAACCTAACCTGAACTCTAAATCAAAATATATCCCTAAACCTAACCTGCCTGAACCCTAAACATACTCCAAAACTGGGTTTTGACCCTATCGGAACCAGGGTTTTGACACTATTGGAACCAGGGACTAAACACCCAAATGAAGTCAGGGTGCTATCTCTTCACAGCTGATTTGTCTTGTGTAGTCTACTTCAACTTTCCTACCAACACTTTTTTTTGTTTAGTCCTTAACGGTAACTCTTTAGCTTGTGAAAAATTTTTTTGCTCAAGGCACCTTATATTATTTTTATATGACTTTATTATTTCTGTTTCAAAATCCATGACCAGTTAAACTTATTTTATTACTTATTCAACTAATTTCTAAAATAACTAATAGTTAATAGTAGTCAGATTCCAATAAGTTTAATTATAATTAAATAACACTTCATTAATTATAGTAAAATTTAATGATTAACTAAAGGAAATGGGAGTGAAGTATTTAGGCTTTAGTTTTGACTAAGAAGACTTACTTAAACTTAAGTCAGTAAGTTACATAGACCTAGACCCTAGCTCTTATTTAATTTATTTCCAGTATCACCCTTATTTCTTTCCAGTCCCAGTATTTAATTTTAAGTTATTTTTTACCAAGTTTTAAAGTCTAAAATTGACTTTCTTAGTAGTTATAATACAAGTACTAGGTTATTAAGTAGTAGAAACAATAATAGTAATAATAGGCATATGTCAGGCCTGCACAACTCAAAATGTAATACTTTATGAAAAACTTTTGAGGGCCGTAATGCTTTATGAAATATTTGTGCGGGCAAAAAGATAAAAGGAAGAGGCAAAAGCTATTAAGAAAATAATAATAATAAACAATATTTCGTTACTTAGCGGGTCGCCAAGAGGGTGCTGGCGGGCCACATGTAACCCGCGGGCCATATGTTGGCAGGCCTGGCATATTTGACTGTCAATTAATCAATCAGTAACACTCAAGTCAAGTTGACTCAGTAAATCTCAAATAGAGTCAAATGTAATTTCATAACCAAATGAGGCTTATATTATATTATAAATGATGTCACACAACTTTTGGAGATTTTGCACCCCCACCCCATAAAAAGTCCCTGTTTCCACTCTAGTGTCCTTTACAAACCCTTAAGAAATTCACCTTACATGGATATCAAATTACTGCACCTGTATAGAAACATTTCACTAGAACGGTGGTTTTTAACCAGGGGTAAAAATATCTCCCCAGCCCTGAGGTGTGGAAGACCAGAAAATTGTATTCAGTGGTGTAGCTAGTTGCGTGCGATGCCGCACTAGTTGACACCATCTCCGTGGGTGACACCAATTGAAAAATTGCGTATTTACAGAGCACACACTGCTCTAGCTAACCAAAATTCATAAAGTTTTATGCATTTTGATTAGCAGCAGTAAATGTTTTTCTGGTGAATTTTATTGACGCTTAGCTTGTATTGTTAATTTTTTCACTTGTTTATAAAAAGTTAATTAAAGAAATAAAACTACGATAAAGAAATTATTTAATTATTTTTAATTTTATTACAATATAATTTATACGGTTTGGGGGGGTAGGGTGTTTTAAATGGAGTGGGCCTGCAGAGCTGCAAAAAAAGTTAAGAATCCCTGCCCTAGAGCATTTACTAAGATTCCCCCCCCACCCACCCCAAATCAATTTTTTTTATCTTTCCATCCTACTTCATGTGGCAGTCCACAGATTAACATAAAAGCAGTATTGCCATAACCTATTGGCAATAGGTGGTAGTTCAAACTATGGCATGGCAAGGTATACAAAAATAGTTAGAATCAAACTATTGTTGTTGATTTTTTTACCACCCCCATGCACATCAAAAGTTTATTCAAAATAATTCAGACACCATCATAAAACATCATCACGAATTCATGATTCCCCTGTCTATACATGCATGATGTCATTTATCAATAGCCCATATTGGGACAGAAATCTCTAAGTGAATTTAAATTTTCACTAAAAATATCTCACCTTAACCCTCGAACTGTGTTCGGCCGACAAAATCGGCCGATATTCTCGTTCTGTGCTGTGGCGGCCAAAAAATCGGCCGTTAAAAAACACGGTCCGATAACAACTTCCAATCCAATATTTAACCGAAATCATAGCCATTTCCTTTTATTAATAATTAAATCAACTTACGGGTCAAGCTGTTTCTTGATTTATCCCCATCCAATTACCTTTATAAAAATATATACTTATATGGGTCTTGTATCAATATTTCTATGTCATTTAATGCTATTTCAAAAGACACTCAAAAAGCTCTGAAAAGCTCCACCCCACAGAATGCTGCATGCCAGTTCGAGGGTTAAATCAGTATTCTCCCAATGCATACAAAATACAAACATTTCTATTTGAACTATTTGTCTAGGAGATTTTAATAATAAACCCAAAATAGGTTAATGAAGAAAAATAACAGTGAAATTTGAGAAAGACAATTACACTATGACATTATGACCACTTTTAACACTTTGCAGCTTGTAAAGAAGTCTTTTATTGTAACTTAAGATGTTGTGAAATAGGTTTAAATTTAATTTAATTTATGTTTGCTGTTAATCTTGCTTGTGTTATATTATATTTCTTGATGGAAGGGCTTCAAGTTTACAATCCTAAGATTAAATGTTATTTCAATGATGTAAAATCCCTCTGAAAATTAAGTGTAAATATAAATTAACCATGATCCATTCCTTTAATTTTTAAATTGAAGGAGTCAAGTGATAATAATAAACAAATATTCATTTCTATTTACAGCATTTTTCTGTATGTTTTTTTTTAAAGAAGCGTTTGTTAATCTTGATATATTTTTTTAGATTTGTCATTGATTATTATTAATAATTAATGAGTGAAATTAAGTAACTGGGTTAATAATATTCAATTTTTTTTTAAAAATAGCTTTTTCTTTAAATTTTTTAGAAATTTAAAATAATGTACCTTGCTTTAAACCTTTTTGCTAGTTCAAAGTAATTTTAAACGATCTAAAAAATTTGAGCTTAAAATTACTTCGTTTTTATGAATTGGAATAATTTTTTAGTTTCATATTCTGTTTTCAGAGCCAAAAATAAACACAGATTTGATGTCTGCTATGGAAGACTTAGAAGAGGCTGACTTAACAGCAGCTGAAATTGCGATGGTGACAGCCAATGAAAGGGCTGGTCTAGTGTCACAGTTAGCCTGCCATTTTTGTGGCATGCAGTTTGACGTAAAGAAGACAAGGTCTCTACGTGCACATATTGAAGAGGTACACGTTTTGGGAGATGCAGGTTATATGTGCGGAGTTTGTTGTGAGGAATTCACATCTAGGAAAGCCGTTGAGACCCACATGAGCACTTTCCATCGTGCGCCAAAGCCACTTGGGTGTGGCACTTGTGGTGAAACTTTCCGTGTCAGAAATCAGCTACTCAAACACATAGACTCTCATACTCAGGAGGAAATAAACAACTACAAAGTAGGCTTGTGTTACTGTGGAGAGTGTTTTGAGTTTTTTGATAGCGTCACATCTTTACAGATTCATACTATGACCCACAGGGAGCAAGCTGTGTTTGTGTGTGGTGCCTGCGGGCTGCAGACGCAGCACAGACATATCATGGTAAAACATTTGGAAAGTCATGTTATATCCAACTTGTTGACTGCAAGTGAAGGGACTGAGCCAGTCATTGAAATGCAGCAGCCCATTAAGGTTGATGCCAGTAATATTCAAGAGAGCACTGAAGTGCCTGCTAACACACAGGACAGTGCTGTGGATATTAAAGGGGAACCACTGCTGGAGGATGAGGGAACGAGCTACAAGTGTGGTGTGTGTCAGGCATCATTTGCTAACCTCACTGAAGCTTTGGGTCATGCAGAGAGACACCAGGATGATGAGAGTCAAATGATGGATGGAATAGAACTAAAAGTAGGGATGGAATTAGGTGTTCTTTTACAGCAGCATGGTCATGTGGATATCTCATCGGATCCATCTCATGAACAGCCCAGTGAAAGTGAAAGACCCCATCTCACTTCACCAGATGGTTCGGATGAATAATAAGTTTTTAAAAATGTATTTAATTAGTATTTGCTTTCTATAACTTGTAATTCTTTTTTTATATGAATTTTTTTTTAATGAATTTCTGGAATGACAGTTTTTATAATTACTGACGTGCTTATTCAAATTGAGATCAAACAAATAAAACGGTCATTGCTAATTCTTCTTTTGTTGTTTGTATCCATATTTACACTTGTGTTCGGTGTAGACACTGTTAGTGATTATTTTCACCCTCTAAATATTGCTCCTGGGAAAGGTGCCCCCCTTCACCTCCCCACTTTCTCGCAGGCAAAAAAGCTCAATCAGGGTGAATGTTTTCCCTCCATATAAGCACTGTAATAATATAAAAATTCATTTATTCCCCTATCTATCAGAATTTTTTCCAGCAGGCTTCCAGCACTTTTAACAAGTCAAATAATTACTTAATTTTGTAATTGAGGTGGTGAGAATCTAGATTTGATCAGTGCTATTGTGGCAGAGAAATGCTTTAGAGCAGGGGTCCACAAACTGCAGGCCAGTACCCAAGTGGCAGTGACAAAAATAAAACACGCTATTAACCACCTATTGAGCCAAAAGCAGGCCATACTTCCCACTAACATACGGTACCAATAACTTATGATTTATGTTAATATAATTGTTTTAAATAGCGCATTGTTTTTTCCCCCCACAAAAAAATAAGATATGTGCATAGGCATTGTTCATGTTTTTTGTTTTTTTCTTAATCTTTGCTACTCACTACACACCCAAAGTAATGAGAGACAGTGAATCAAACAGTGACTGATTGATTGAGGACCCTACTTTACGTAACAGGGTATTTACGTCTACTTTATACATTTTTAGGATTATAAATTATTCGATGTGAAAGTGAAAATAGGATAAAAATGGTTCAACAAAGTCTCATCCATATGTTCATGGTTATTTTCGACATTGGGGGAAGAAAAAAAAAGAATTAAAAAAGTTGGGCTCGTCCGGGATTTGAACCCGGGACCTCTCGCACCCTAAGCGAGAATCATACCCCTAGACCAACGAGCCGATATTAACTTGTAACAAATAAATATTATATTCTATAAATCTTTTACAGGTACTCAAAGACAAAACCAAAAAATTATTTAAAAATAACTATTATCAGATTATTTCTCTGTTGCAAGTTAGGTTAATTTTTTATGGTATTTGTATATACCATAACACATATATAACACTTTCTTTATTATAATCTTTTAAAGTTAATAAATTTGCACGATCATAAGACTAAGACCAACATTATCTCCCTTTCCATAACATGGCGACGCCCTTGTAGATCTTTCTGGCTCAGAAATTTTATTAAAGTAAAGTTTGCAAACATTTTGCTTATAAATTATACAATTTAAATCAAATGATATTCCTGAATAAGTATTTTGCCAGTTATATTTTGTAACAATTAGGATCATTTACACTTAATCTAAATTGATATTTAGTTAAAAGAAATTGTTGTAACTTTGTAATTGTACTCTGACTGTAGAGTGTAGTCTGACTCTTGACTGTCCAATAAAGTTGAGTGATCCAACTAATACTGCCAACTAATAAATCACAGTAATCTACCACTTGAGCGTCGGCCAAGAAAAAATCCAGTTTTTCCCATTGGAAGGGCTATGTAAACAACTATTCTTACATTGGAGTCTGTTGTTAATATTTTTGCTTCCGTATAGTCTAGAGGCTATAAAGTTATATAGCACAATACAAATACATTTAAATACTTATTACTGCCAAGCTACCGATATGCCCGGAAGAAAAAGAGACAACAATTTTTTTTTTATCCAGATGACGCGGATGTCCACACACAGAATGTGGAAATGTGAATGCTCAGAAAGCATAAACTGAAAAGACAGTTTGGCACAAGAAGCGCCGGTGATCTTTCCCCTTCATATTTACGTGGATTCATGTACCTTAAACGTTTTCGTGGAAATTATATTTTTTTTAAACTTCATTGTCAACTTGGGGGATAACTATGCATAATTCCATTTTCACACATTATCTTCTATTTCAAATTTTTTAAAATAGTTTTTCTATTTTAAAATTTCAAAAAAATTGTCTATTATAATGGGAATGAATACGTACAACCAATGTCATTAAAAATAATATAAGAATAGTTGTTTAAATAGCCCTTCCAACCTGAACAGCTGGATTTTTTCTTGGCCGACGCTCAAGTGGTAAGTTACCTTAATCACTTTCCTCCTCTTGCATATTGACTTACTTAGTAAGGTTTCAGCAGTCTGACGTAACTTTAAAAACTGTGTCCCCAAAAAAATTTGCAATGAATAAAATAACACTAAATTAAAAACATTATTTACTTGTTCTTACAACATAATAATTAATGGCCAATTCAGAGAAACAAAAAAAAACAACAAAATTTTTTTTTAAATGGATCATCTTACCCATGGAACAGAAGCAATGGAAATGGGGTACATACATTATACATACTATACAGTAGGCACTTTGATGAGATCCGGGAATTGCTGAAAACCGGCTATCGTTTCGTTATCAAAATGGCGACCTCCACTTTTTAATTTACAGAGAGCCTCGTTGTTTACGATTTTTTTGTTAATTATAGCCCAGCATGCCCATTTTATTTCCGCCCACAACTTTGAGTAGACATGTTGTTTTATGATTAGACACTTTTTTTCTAAAAAATATTTGAGGTCTTAACTATGAAAATTGAAGGTGCTTATTTTAATCATTCATATTTTTTTTTTTTGGAAAGGGTGTCTTTCTTAAATAAAAAGACGTCGATTGATAATAGCGTAAATTACAACATATAAAAAATTCAAGTTGTTCAATAATGGTAAAAAAATACCTACCAAATTTTTGTCATGTGGGTCCCAAAATGACCTATTATTATTATCAATAACGATTTTTATGAAAAAAATATATGAAAAAAAAAAAATAACTTGTTTACACTGGAAATCCAGCTTATTACTCCATAATAACTTATAACTCATTCAAAAACAAAAATAGATAATTTAATAACACTGATACTTATTTTAACAACATAAATATATATTTTTAACTTGTTTTGATGCTTGTATTGAGGGGTATTGACTAGGGTAGTGGGTTAAACTGAAATTATTAGCCTCATTATTATTATAATTAATATATTAAATATAACGGTTTATATATATATCTACAGGCCTAGAAAAGTATAGTATTTTAAGTATGGCCTAGCCCCACCCCAACTCATTATTTGTGGGACACATTATTTATTTTTAATGATATTTTAATGAATATTATGATTTTTAATGCATATAGTAAGCAAAAATTGTAAGAAAAGTAGTTTAATCACATATCACAATATTTCACAAGAGAATTATTACATAATCCTTGGTATTTTCAAAGAGAAAACACACTTTCTGCCACAATAGTCCAAGAATTACTTAAAAGTTATTATTAAAGAACAATCACAAAAACTCATACTTACCTCAAGCAAATGACTAGTAATTATTTTAGTTTGTATTAACCACCAAAGTTGATTCTATCTAAAGAATATTATTATTATTATGATTTTATGTAAATTAACAAAAAAAATTTAAACAAAATTCAAATAAGCGACGAGTCAGCATACTTTATACATTTTTAAAAGGACGAAAATAAAGATTTGTAAAAAAAAATTTTGCGGAATATTAACAAAAACTAACTTATATTTTGTGGCTTTATTTAGAAGTACTCTTAATTAACTATGTTTCCTGTAAATATTATATTTTTGTCCCATTTTAAAATAAAGTTATAGGCGTTAAAAAAAAAGAAGCAAATTGAGGGTCACCAAATGTGGAGGAAAATCCCATAGTAAAAAAGTGCCTTTGAGGTCCCTACTAAAAAAATCATAACTTTTTAACCACTTGAGCTAGAAAGTTGATCTTGGTGTTTTTGTCATCTACTCTCCAGGCTCTATACAGCTGTGGTTTTATATTTTTAAATATGTTTTGAAATTTTCATCAAAGTGCCTACTATTACTAAACTGTTATGTTTAATTCCATCGTAAATGATGTAATTTTCAGAAAAACAATTTTCATTTTGCATCCACAGTTCACTAGGCCTAGGCATATATCAAATATATATAAATGAAAAATGCCATTTATTAAGCGTGACTAATTTAATTACCGGTACCGGTATACGTGGCTTTATTAGGTCTTAAGTTGGTAGACTATTAAAAACAATAGCTATTCTAAATGTATATTAAGAATTAAAAGAAAGAAAAATTTTGAAGCATCTTTTTGATTGATTTCCTCTAAAATCTGCTTAAATTGATATATATTTTTTCCAAACTACTTATCTAGTTTTTACTTTTCGAAGGAAAGCCTTTAAAAACTACATCGTTAGAAAGCACATTTTAAACACAAAGGTCAAAGGACTAAAGACAAAATAATGTAACTGACGTAAAACTAATGTAACATGTCTAAATGCAAGCAGTCAAAAATAAAATAACAAAGTCCACTCTTCTACAAAATTACAAATACTTCAATTTAGCCATTATATTGTACTTAATTAGACATAAATAACAGTGTTTTAATGCTTGTTCGGATGGATGGGACTTGTTAACCTTGGATGGTAACTCATCTAAGAGAAGGAAAACTCTGATTTCAAACCCAGAGATGGAGTGCCATAGGTGGTATGACATTGAAACAAGGAAAATTCCGGCAACTCCTGTGATGCTACTGGTGCCAAGCTGTATCATTGTATCATTCACACATGATGTTCCCTTGGGTTATCCAGATGGGTGGCGAGCAGATACTTGATGTCTAGGGACCCAGCTTATCCTCTTTAAAAAATACAAAGTCTTGTGATTTTGTCCTGCAAAGTGACAAACAAATGCTGGTGCCACGCCCCCCCCCCCCCCCCCCCCCCCCCCCCCCCCCCCTACTCGCCCATCAAGGGACATACCAATGAAAATTGTCTCTCTATATTTTCTAGATTTAAACAATAGTTGTTTTTTTTTAGAATTCAAATAAAATTAGCAGACAAGATGTTTGTAATTCAGGATGGCCACTGGGGCTTGGGTCACACAAAACAAAGATGCTAAAATTTACTCCATAACAAGATGAATTAAAAAATAATCTATAGAAGCACCAAATGTTATGCAATTTAATTTTTAGATGCTGTGTCCACTTTTACATGGAATTCACCTTCTCTAATATTATACATCTACTTAGTCTACTATTGAATCCGTTGCTTCTAACACTACATTAACTTTGATACATAATCAGTTTAATTAAATTTACAAGTTAAGGACTCATTACGGTAACTCACTTATTTTCTACTCTGAATTGTGTGTGAAAGACCCTAATTGTATTGGAGTATTTTGCATTCATTTGGTTTCCAAACTCAATATAACTGCTCAACATATTTTTTAAAAATTTGGCTACACCACCCACTTCCCCACCCCCGTGCCATAAAAAAATAAAAAGCCATAGGCTGTCTTAAAGGCTAACTGGCTAAAGAAAAAAACTTTTTTGTGCGTCCCCTCTCACAATTTTTGTAAATAAAAACTGTGGGGGGAATGCATTCTCATTTTATTTATTGAGTTGAGTGTTAGTTGACTTATTGAATAATTTATTCCCTTTGTTTAATTTGGCAAATAGAACGCACTCAGAAACTTGCTAAATTATAAAAGCCAAATGATGCTCTTGCCTATCTTAAATTTTATAGTTAGTTATAGACATTTTATCATTTTTTTTTTAAAGACTAAACTTTAAAATATGTAAACGAATAAGTACAGTTACTTAAGATAAAATGCAAAGACTGGCTGTTAGCTGTACAGATTTTAGAGTCATTTACTCATTTACCTCACTTGTCTGTAAGTTGTCAGAAATATTTATTTTGAGGACAAATGTCCTAAATAATTGTTAACTGCTGTGAAAAACCTTTACACATACACTAGTCAGTTTAAAAAATGTCCGTAAAGTGTTTAAACAACTTATAAGTACCGGGTATACATCATTTTTGTAAATCTTTATAAACTGTTTTTAATAATATCAGATGCTTTTCTTTTTTTTTTTATTGAGATAAAAATTCAAATTTTCTTGTTTCAGAAGTGAATCAAGACACAGCTGTGAAAATACATTAAACTGGAAAATGAGAGGTTTAGCATTTTCCAAAATATGTACAGAATTTATAAATATTTCCAGTGAGATTTCAAGAACATTGATGACCAATCGCAGCATGCAATCTTTTCACCCATCCTTAATGAGTTTTGGAGCTAGTTCTTTTTTGCCTGGTAGTGGAAAGCAAATGAATTCAAATAAAGTTTCTGCTTCCAGTAATGACAGTTCAAAATATTTTTCACCTCTGTTCAAGTGTGGAAGCTTCAGTGCAGGTCCAATTTTAGGTGTGAGTGTTGGCCCCTCATACACTCAGATTCGAGGGTATCAAAATGTGATGAGACCACGATTAATCTGTGAAGGGTGCTATTTTGTCTGGCGTCATGGCAGGAAGCATGTTGAATGCAGTGACTTCCCACGACACAAGCAAACCAAGAAGCTTTCCCCTAGAAAAATTTGGAAAGAAGATTATACTATTGGTAAAATTGTGAAGGCAATGGACTGGAACCGTAAAATTCATCGTCAGTTTGATCGCCATGTGGACAGAACTGTTATGTCTCATAACTGGCTGGCAGATAAACTTGGCAAAGAAATTTAGCTAATCACTTTTCAATAAAATGGTTTTATTTAAGTTTTGAATTTGTTTTATATTTTGCAGATTTGTATGCTCATCAGTTTTTTTTACTCATACTTGACTTCTTGATACAACTTTAGACTTCCATTAGATTAGTAAAGGGGCACATTCTATGGTTACCATAGTTAAATCAAGAGCTTTGGTTGAACATTTATTGTAAGTGTTAGGCTAATCACTATTGAAATGGAAGATTTGAGCATATGATGTTTAAAGGAATGTATTTTATCCCTGATGATACCTCTTACAGAGATTTTAGGACATTTCCCACAATTTCTTCAAACCTGAGTTGTATTCACCTTACCGTTTCCAAACTCTAGGTCTAGGACTTAAGAAAAGTGATATCACTTGATACTTTGTTCAATAATTTGAAATTACAAGCAAATATACTAATACTATGTAATATTATTAAATGTTCTAAGGCAGAAGTAAAGAGCATTTTTCTCTCGACCTTATTCTTGCTTAGATGCTGAGACACGGGGAGAGTATATACATTGTCTCATAATTCACCACTCATAAAATAATGTTTAAATAATATACAAAATACCAAAGTGCATTAGAATTTGAGCAAATATTACAAAAGCATTGTGATGGTGTTGATTTTAAAAATCTTCTAATTAAAAGTGTAGTTACATGGAAAGTTTAATAATGGCGCCAGCATGAATACTCAATAATGTACATGGAAAAAATATGAATGGTGAAACAAAAGTGTTAAAGCCAGCTTTTATTAGCAACACCAGCCCGGCAGTCATAAAATAGAAGCACCTTGGCCTTGACATTTACCACATACAAACATGTTTATAGGTGAGATAGTGAACTGAACAGAAAGTCTTTTACCTGATTTCTATTAAATTCGAGTTACCGGTATCTTTTCTAAATTCTGTAAAAATTAACTTGTATTCTTTGTGACATTGTTCAGACCAGTTTACACTGGAAATCCCAAATTAGTGCAATATATAATATAGTCTCAGAATACTACTTTACCATCTCAAAATCATACAATACCATATTGTAATAGTAAACAAATAAACAGACAGTATAATGTATACAATAACTATTCTATATTTTATGTAGGTCACTTTTCAAAGTAGATGACTGACATTTATATGTTTATGTACAGTGCACTATTGCAAAATATTCAAAGGTGTGTTGGGGAGTGGAAGTTGAGGATGCTAGCTGAAGTCACCAGAGCAAAAGTGGGGATGGAGTTGGGGAGGAAGATGAGCAGCTTCCCAGAATTTTTTTTACCAATTCAAAATCTGGGGAAGCACTTTTGTGTACGCTTAAATTTAAATATAATTTTGCACCATTCTTCACTTAATCGTAATGGTTGTAAAAAATTAGGTACCCCTTACCGAGCTGTGTTTATAATAATTTTTAGTAGTTACTAAATAGGGAAATTGTTTTATAATTTACCTGGTATTACCTATTTCAATCTATTTTTTTATCAATCTAAAAAAGGGGCATATACCCCAAAATGGCGCGTACTGTCACAAAAAATGATGTACAAGTATAAGATTATGTGCCATTATGCCAAAAATGAAAATAATCACTAATTGAATGAAGGAATAATTTAATTTGTGATACCGTACCGTACATCCGGTGAGCAACAATATTTTACGTGGCGAGCTGTGAATTGCCCACCCATTAAGCCTAGAAGCCTGATTTTACTGTCCACTAACATAATATATGGTATAGTTTAACTAGGGCTTAACTGGGTGCATTTTACTTATACTGGGTCGGGGTATTTTGAGAAAATGTCAAACAAAAAAATAGAGTTGATTTCTCATTTTCTATAATATATGGTGACTTTTAAACAAGAGGCCTAACCCATGGCTTTTTATTGATAAAATAATCGCCTCCCCTAAGAAAAAAAATCAACCTATTTAACTATATACCTGAGTTTGGACATCATGCATGACAGTCTTTTTTCTTTCAGTCAGTACTATTATATAAAAAATAAAACATGTGAAGTTGGTTGCGAATAGGAAGCATGATGCACCACAAGCAAAATATATATAAGTAGATAACTACTGCAAGTTGTATTGGGAGAAGAGGAGGTCTGGCGTATTAAAAGCTGCTTAATAACTTTAAAAAAAAGGATTTCAAATGCTGCTTACTGGATCTTATACAATATGTCAAAATCTAAAGCTGCTGAGCGGAGCATTCAGCTGAAAAATGAAATAATTATGTCGCAAAGTTACGTACTGTAATACAAAAGCGAACGTTTACTAAATTTGACGCTAGGGTGAATATGCTACAATATTAATGTTCGCGCACCCAGTATCTAGCGAGTTCATTGGTAAAACACAAAGCAACAATATCACGATCTTTATGAAATGTGGTGGTGTTATTTTATAGCCTTTAACAATATTTATACACCTCCCCCTACCCTTCCCATTAGTCCCATGCACAATAGTACCGGTATGCTTCCAAGTCAGTACCAACCTCCTTTCCCTCTTCTTCTTCTTCTTTATTTTGAGGGCCCACGATCAATGAATTGATCATCACTTGTAATTGTAAGTAATACAATCGTATTTCTCTGTCCATTCTCCGCCGGCTATAGAAAGGAGCTAAAGCTAACAACAGAAAACATTTTATTTTATTTTTTAAATTGCAAAAACATCAGGAATAATAGACTAATTACCGGTATATAACATGGTCTCGTAAAACTGTAGTTCTGACAGTTTTTGGCATACGCTCGTAAAAGACATCTCAAAATCATATATAAGGCAAGCCAAAATCGTATAAGTAACAGGTCTGATTGTTTAAAATGCATTTGACATACTTGACGTCTGGCAGTGCTTTACCATGTAATCATGTAATCCATTCGAATACGAAGTACTACCAGTGATGATAAATGTAACTCATTATCACTTAATAACAGCCAATATGATTATTTAATTAATATATTTAAAAACAAAGAAATTAAAAAGCAAATTAAAAATTATAACAAAATTTATTAAATGTATTTTTATGAATTATAAACTGCCGTTCAATTTATTTGTATAAATAAAGTTTGCATCATTTAGTACAGTGATATAATACCCCTCGAGTATAACAACTTAAAATAATTTTTAAAAGAATTAAATGTATTTTCATGAATAATTATAAACTGTATTTCAATTTAATTTCATTGTATAAATAAAGTTTGCATCATTTTGTAAAGTACCGGAATATAATTCCCCTCTAGAACTCACAATAACAAAAGCACATTTCATTGGTTAACACTAACATGATCAACAGTTTTTAAATTTAAAAAAAATCATTTCATTGCAACTAAAACACAGAGGTAGACATTTCTTAGAAAAGTTACACTAACATCATAAGGGCATAGTCATCCACTAAATACAAGATGGCTGTATTTTATACATGTGAATATAGGTTGTATAATAAACTTTTCAAATTATAAATTATTATTAAATCAATCATACCAGTACTTAATCTTTGAGATAGGTGAGGCACATTGAATGCCTCAGAATAAAAAATCTTTGCAATGGCATCATGCATCACAGCTGACTCCAGCTAACTTCAAATCAAAACTTAAAATATCTTATCTAAGCTCATAATTGCAGCATTGGTTTACGGATACAGTACCGGTAATTGAATGTTAAACATGATCAAAATGTGATAGTACAAACAACTTAATTCCAATTAAATATCACACTTTCTGCTTAAACATTACTTATTAGATTATGATTACATATTCCCTTTCTATTCAGTTCTGAAAAAGGCTTACTTACACCACTTTGCTTACAATGTAAATAATATGCTATTAACAGTACCCGGTAAACACAAATGATAATTATAACTACAGTCGACTCGTGGTGCCTCCTGCAATAACAATATTCTCTCCAGTTATATACTTTGAGTCATCTGAAACGAGGAAGGATGCAGCACCAGCACAATCCTCAGGCTCGCCAAATCTGAAAGATGATTTTTTCATGTTTTATTTTAATGAGAAAGAAGATACCTGTGGCTCCAATTAACGAAACAAAAGCCATTGGGTATGTGAGGTAACTCAAACCTCCACCAAGCCATTGGGTATGTGAGGTAACTCAAACCTCCACCAAGCCATTGGGTATGTGAGGTAACTCAAACCTCCACCAAGTCATTGGGTATGTGAGGTAACTCAAACCTCCACCAAGCCATTGGGTATGTGAGGTAACTCAAACCTCCACCAAGCCATTGGGTATGTGAGGTAACTCAAACCTCCACCAAGCCATTGGGTATGTGAGGTAACTCAAACCTCCACCAAGCCATTAGGTATGTGAGGTAACTCAAACCTCCACCAAGCCATTGGGTATGTGAGGTAACTCAAACCTCCACCAAGCCATTGCGTATGTGAGGTAACCCAAACCTCCACCAAGCCATTGGGTATGTGAGGTAACTCAAACCTCCACCAAGCCATTGGGTATGTGAGGTAACTCAAACCTCCACCAAGCCATTGGGTATGTGAGGTAACTCAAACCTCCACCTCCTGTAAATATCGCATTAAAGAAATGGGAGACAACACCATCGTGAGTTGCCTATGGGTGGGAAAAAGCCTCTTTAAAAACATTTGGCTAAGGGAGACCACATCTTTAACTTATAGTACTTTTACATAACAATTTACCATAATAATAATTAATAATAGATATAACTATACTATAACAGTAATAACACCTTACTCAATAACTTGGCCAAGGAAACCACCTTCAAACAGGGACTAATGGAGACAACACAAATTTCAATGTGCCCAAACAAAGTGATTCACAAAATTTTAATTGTGATTAACCAGCATGAATAAAACGACACAGCTGGGACTGGTTGATGATTCTTGAATTTGAAAACTGAAATGTGCTTTTCAATCCTAAGTAATTTTTTAGGTACAAATGTCCCTAGTCTTTTCAAGGGCTTATGCCTTGAAAGGAACATGACTCAACAGTATCTATATTTGGCTAGTCCATGGTTGTTATCAATTAACAGAAAAGTGGGGATAAAAAGCTACAACCCCAGCATCAGTCCATGGTTATCAGTTCACAGAAAAGTGGGGATTATAAAAAGCTAAAACACAGCATCTATATCTGGCCAGTCCATGGTTGTCAGTATCGAGCATGGGAGTTCATTGATAATTGTTGCGACTGAAAGTTATGTTTCAATACACGCGTGTTTTTGAGAGTTTTATGAGTTAGTGAACGCTCTTCCCACGCTTGACTTAGTGATGTATTTTTATGCCAGTTGTGAGTATTGTCTAGACTATTGTGACATTATTTTTAGTCAAGCGGCACTCTTGAAAGGAACTTTGTAGAAGTAGGATGTGTTTTATTTATGTCTGACAGCGAGCTGCGCTATATGCATGTGTTTATTATTAGATATTAAAGATATAATTATCATGAAAAGGACTTGAGTTTATTCAGTGATAGTAATATTAGTATGACATATTACAACGTGTGAAAGAACATGACCAATTAACCAATCCAGTAGAACATAGGAGTTGACAGTCAGTTCACAGAATAGTGAGGAATATCAAACGCTAAAACACAGCATCTTCCTAGGGCTAGGCATGAAGAGGCCAACAGCAAGTGATTTGTTAAATTTAAATGATTGGACAGGTACCTTTTCTGGCTCTGGCTAGTCAAATTAGTAAAATAAGAACAATTATGAAGTTTCTGCTGGATGCACACATATTGAGCACAATTTTTTCCTTTTCTTCCAAGTTTCTCTTTATACAAAATTAATGTAAGTATTAAATTGTAACCAACAGGCATGTAGGGTTGCCAGGTGGGTTTGTTTTTTTTTTACATTTAAAAAAATGCATTTTTAAATTGACAAAGTTAAAGATTATTAAATTTCCCATTATTATATTTCATTCATAAATCATTTCTGAGTTAGCCTTGTTAGGGTTAATTATAATCTTTTAAAACCAAATGTATTGTTCTTACCTCCCTAATGGTATTTTAGCTAAAGCATATTCAGCAGCACTTGGATCACCCATAAGCTGAAACATGAATAAAATTACTGTATTGAGAACAGGTCTGTTAGAAGAGGGGTTGGTCGACTTCTGGCGGCACTTATTTGAGGCTAGATTTTTGTTTTACTTCAAATACTTTATAAAGATTATTTTATTATGTCTATCTGGAAATAATATGTGGTTTTTATTAATTAAGGGCGGCAAAATTAAGGACTGCCCAGCCGTCACAAACTCAAGCTACTCGACTGATTAACAGCATGTAATGTTGAATTATACTACTGATAGCCATAATTTCATTGTTTAAAAAAATATTACTGGTAATAATAATTGTTTTTAAATTGTCATTTGTCAATGTACCTGAAATTAATTGCAAACGACAGTAAAACATTATTTATTTCACTCCATGATAAACAGTTCAAAGACTTTTTACACGAATGTGGCAGTAATTATTTAGCTAGACATAACTTTTATGAAGACTATATAAATATAAATGCAGGTAACATTGAAGAGAAAAAAATGTCCGTTTTACTTTTTTTGAATATAAATTGTTACCAACTTCATGACAATTCCTATTTGGATCTATTCCTAATTGGATCTATTTAAAAAATTACTTACTGCTTTGCTGAACTTAGTTTTGATAATTCCTGGTGCCAGGCCGTTTATTCTAATATTGAGTTTTGCTAGCTCAGGAGCCAGTGCTTTGACCATTCCTAGCAGGGCTGATTTTGTGATACTGTATGCACCAATGAACTGAGGACGACAAACTATTTTCAATAACAGAAATAGATAAAAAGGCTTAAATATGTTTTCAAATTCAATTTGAGTACCGGTACTGATACGGTACATAAAATGGTATGATTTTCTTTAAATTCTTAAATGTTAAAAGTATAAGCATTAACAGTTTTGCACATTTAATTCATTATTAAAATAACATCCCCTTACTTAATGTAGACTGTTGTCATTTCTTGTTTCAAAAACCTATAGCTACTTATGTGGTAGGTCTATTCAATACTTTGAAAAAAATCATTTGAAAAGTGGAGATGTACTTTTTAAAGATGTAATTAAGTGCACAAGATAAGTTAAATACTCACTTCAAAGGGAACAAGCCCAGCAATGGACGAAACTATGATTATTGCACCTGATCTGAAATTTGTAAAAATTTCAACATTATGATTTTTATTTTTAATTTAAAACACTCAATTGTTACAAATATGTTAAAAAATTGTAATAGATATGCATAATTTTTCTTTAAAGATATCGGTACTTTTGATCTTTGGTAGAGTTTGAATTTTATGCTAGTTGGAAGCCTATACTATCAATAGAAAACATTCAATGAATCTTATATTTAACAAAACATTTTTTTTACCAAACAATGCTATATCAGCATTATAAAATAATTTGTACTACAAATTGTAGTAAAAAAACTTGGGAGATCAAATTTAGCCAAAACCCTAACAAAGTAAATCTAGTCCATATAAATTAAACAAAGGAGACTTCAACCTTAATTTGCTTGTTTCAAAGCAGATTACCCTCGCTTTTCCATTTCTGGAACAGTTTCTTGACAGAGCATAAATGATGACTTAACGTTGACTTCAAACATCTGTGCGTAAAAAAAAGGCTACATTTTATTAGAATTTTGGTTTTATTTAAAAACATTAGCAATCCCTAAAATTACATTATTATTCTTTAAAATATATGGACAGCAAGATGTGGGTTACTTAAATTCGTGAAATAAAATATGTTTTTTGTTATTTTGTGCCAAAGTTTCATGTACCGTAGTCATAACTTAAAATATAATGGTTACTAAAGAAATTCAGTTTCCAAAGTATCAGTTTAATCTGTTACCTTATCCCATGATTCCTCTGATGTCTGGAGAGAGTAACATTGATTAATATTAATAATTCACCCTCAACAAATTTGTTGGTGATAAATAAATCTAAAATACAAATTAAAAATTTTCGATTAAAAAAAACACACTTTCTTTTCCATGTGAAATGCTTACAAATTAAAAGGGAATCTCTAAAAATGAAATATTTTTTATAGAAAAAATAAAACCACACGCACAACTGTTGCACGATAAATATAGAATTAATAGTAATACTACATTAATATTGTCTAAATATTGATATTTTTCTTAATTGGTACCAATATCTAATTAAAACTGTAACTTAATTAATGTAAGCTGGCTACTTACCTTCAATGTTGGTCCAAAATAAGTGCTCACTGCTGCGTTAGACACTAAAATGTCAACACCACCAAATTTAGCTGAAGTCTTGAACAAATTAAAAATAAATGGTTGAAGTTGATTAATTTTTTATTTACAGTTGAAGCTCATGGAAAATCTCAAGTAAACTACTGAAATAAAGTTCATAAATATTTTATAAACTGTTCTGTAACATGAGTTGAGGGAAGAATTGGATAGTCAATTTTAAAAAATCCAGAATTTGAGGAATTCAAATTATGGGCAAATCAATAATTTTATTCATCATCTGAACTCAAGGTGTATATGGGGTCAATCTCAGCAAAATTTCTTTTGGCTGTACACGTCAGATGTTACTGGCTTAATCTATAATCTGTGCCATTGGTCATTAAAGGACACCATAAGAATTCTTAGAAAATAACTCAGCATGTGCATTCATTCTCATAATTTGACTACATATAGCTGACAGCTACTTGGTCAGATTGCAGCGTTGACAACCACAGAACACATCTTATTTGAGAGGTCACTTTTTAAAACGTACTGTCTCTTCTTTGAAATAAGTAACAAAATGATATTTGATTTTTACTTCCTACAAGGGCACAATATTTAATGAATAACTTAAAGACAAAGATTTTAAAAGTACTTTTAACATTTAAAAATACAAAAACCATTGGAAAAACATATTAATATAAAATTAGGTCTTAAGTATACCCTTCAAAACAGCATTTATAATTACATAAAGATCAAATTGAAAAGTAATGTCTTATGTGTTTTCTCTTACCTCTTTTATTAACCTCAGACGGTCTTCTTTCTTGGCAACATGGCAAACAATACCCTCAACATTTAAATTTTCCGCTCTCAGCTGACTTAAAGCATTGTCTACATTCTGTTGTTTGCGACTACTTATCATAACCTTGGCTCCATCTTGACCAAGTCTCCGAGCAATGAAAAAACCAATCCTTTAATAAAATTTTGAAAAATATTTATTGTTTATTTAGCTTCTACTAAAATTGCTCTAAATTTGATAACTACCGGGGTATTCTTATTTGATGTTGAGATACAATGTGATACTATTTGATAAAAAATAGAATGATAAAATACGCTATACATAGATGAGATTAGGAAGGAATACATGTATGCCTGGTATGTATAATTTTAATTCCTAATAAAACAAAAAATAGATTGTTAATAGTTACCAGTAGTGCTTACCCTTCTGTTGATGCTGTTACTATTGCAACTTTGCCTGCTAATTTTTTTACTGCACTAGCTGCCATGTCTCCTTTAAGAGTAGGGACTAAAAAAATCTGCAAGTAGTGACAAGTGGTGGGTGAGTTAGAAATTTTATGGATAGAAATACAGTGAGAATATTTAATAAAAATAATAATGTTGGTGTTTAAAATCCTATATTACTATATAGATTATTTTTGATTCTTAAATTCCTCATTGTAATTTTTTGCATTTTAGAATTATTGCATCAGCAATTATAAATAAGCAATAACTTATAGCATAAGCCAAAATGATGGGACTTACTCCAATGACAAAAATCAGAATAAAAGGCAATAGCATGTCTACCTGAGCAAATTATTCAAAGTCTTAACCCTAAATAACTCAATACAATAATTTAAAAAATAATCTTTCCTATTAAAAATATTAACTTAAATGAAGCAAATAAAATTATATTTACATCTATACTGATTAAAACTATTAATAGGCATACCTTTATTTCTATGCATTCATTTTTAAGATAAATATTGACAAAATCATTGAATGTTTATGTAATTATTTTGTGTGTTACACTTTTTTAGAGAAGTTGATGTGAGAGTTAAGCTTCCACAATTTTAATGGAATATGATTATCACTATGATCCTAAATTTGTCTGCAAACATCAAAACAGATCTTAAGTTTAAGCAAAATGTCTCACCAAAATCAGAGCTGCATATAGGCTAGGCGCACCCACACAGACTTGAAAATTTGACCTTAATAAATCACTTTGCTGTAAAATTCATAAAAAACTTTAGGAAACCTTTAAATAATATGATAATTGTAGGCTATGCCACTATGCAGTTAAATAGAGTTTTAACATTAAATGTAATAGGCCTTAGATTAAGACCGCTAATAACTTAATATTTTAAGAAGGATAATTTCAATAATTTCATTACATTTGCAAATAATATTAATAATAACTAATATTGTCAATATGATAACAGTCTGTTAATTTTATTATTATTATTAAAGTAAGTGAGTGAGTGTGTTGTCAATGATAAGATAATAATGAGTATAATGATAATGCTAAGCCTAAGCAGACTAAGCTTTGCTTTTTTAAAAACACCACTGGCTATTTGAGTATTTAAAGTTCAAGTCTTTAACATTATTTCAATCAGTCGTGAGTCAAGCTTCAACACATTTTCATTTTTATTTATTTAGCAATCATAATTAAACGAATACTATTAGTATTAGTGATCGTTTCGACAAAAAGAAACGCTTTACTTATTCAACTTACTGAGTGTTTAAATAAAATGAATATACTAAGATTTACTAACCTATATTATATTAATTATTATAGCACTATCACTAATACTAATATAATGTTGGGCCTGAACTTAAGTCTTAGTCTTAAGACAACAAAGTCCAAGTCCAAAGTTCGTAAATAGAAACAGTAGTAATGTCCCCTTGCGCGTTGAGAGGAAAAAGGGGAAAAGAGAGAGTGAGGGAGGAGGAGGAGGAGGAGGAGGAGAGAGAGAGAGAGAGAGGGGGGGGAATGGTTGGGGTGTAATAATTATAACACCAAGTTATAAAAATGGAGTGGTTGTTTTTAATAAAAGCCATAATCACTTATTTTTTAGTGCCCTTAGCTCCAAGTACAAAGTTCGTAAAAAGAAACAGTAGTAATGTCCCCTTGCGCGTTGAGAGGAAAAAGGGGAAAAGAGAGAGTGAGGGAGGAGGAGGAGGAGGAGGAGGAGAGAGAGAGAGAGAGAGAGGGGGGGGAATGGTTGGGGTGTAATAATTATAACACCAAGTTATAAAAATGGAGTGGTTGTTTTTAATCAAAGCCATAATCACTTAGTTTTTAGTGCCCTTAGCCTTAGATTATATGCCAAGTCATGTCATTGTATTGTCATAACCTAAGCCTAAACTTAAACATCTAATTTAACCCCCCCCTCCCCCCCCCCAAAAAAAAAAAATTAGAAATGGCATATCAATTTAATTGATATGCCAATTTATTTTTATATAAATACCATTAACTGTATTTAGTTTAATTAGGTATGCATATACTAAATAGGTACTAATTATGGTTAATACTTAACTTATTCATGGTATCGTTAATAGAATTCAATGTAGTTTTCAAATTGTTAAAAAATTTGCTTTTTAAAATAAAGGAACTATCTGCATTAGAGTATCGTAGTTGGACGCATTGTCAAAAGTTCGCCATCGTGGCTCATCTTATGATAATACGTAAAAAAGTAAAATAAATCTCAGACTTTGCTTTCGTGTTTGTCACCTTATTGTGTTAATTCCATCGCATTTGCGCCCCCTCGCGCCCCCCCGCGCCCCCCCCCTTTTCTACGCTAGTGATCCGAAAAAGTTGATTAAATCAGTAATCCACCCTCGCAACCCTAGACTAGAGAAATTTACGTTGTTGTGTTGTGTTGTGTTGTGTTGTATTATGTTGTAAAATATGTATAAATAAATAAGTATTCGCTGCACAACTATTGTTTTCATCAATGACGTGCCTCAGAGTTTAAATTAAATGACAAAAGTGAAGGTCAGTTAAAAAAATATTTCAAGGCCACAAAATAGTTACAATGAGCATATTTCAATAAACAGTTTCCGGCGGAGTCCCCCCCGCCCCCGGACCCCTCTTTAGTTGGAGGCATGGGCGCCCGCAGGGGGGGCAAGGGGGGCTCTTGCCCCCCCCTGGATTGATTGGATACAAAAATTTAGAAAAAAATTGACAAAAAATGTTTTAAAGAGAAAATAAAGAGAAAATGACTAAGCTGATGTCCTGTCCGTTCGTTCACCATACAAATACGCTACAGTAAATTAAAATTATATTAAAACATTACTAAACATTTTTTGCCCCCCACCCCCTGGAAAGTTAATCGATTTTTTGCCCCCCCCCCATC